CTCGTTCCAACGCAGCTCCGACTTCAAAGCAACCAGCAACCACGGGAGAGCACCTCGGACACGCCGGGAAGAACCGACTACCGAAGACCACGCCGCGACCCAAGCTTCACTCGACGCCATCATCGTTGCCAAACAGAAACCAGCGCCCCGCCTCAGCAAACCGCGCAACGAAGATGCTGCCCTCCACGGCGAAGATGCCGTCATCCACCAGTCTCCCGGTCGTAGCCTGCTCCGAGACGATACCCCCAAGGAGGAGAAAGACGCAAATACGCCTCCATCGCCCGATCCAGCGGATCTAAGGTTTTCCTCCAGAGCCAAAGCCGTGGGGAGGAGGAGCGCACCTCCACGACGACGCTTCCAAGAAAGATCGCGGCACCCGCGGGCGCCGCCGTCGCCGGCTCCGGTGGATACCGGAGTAAGGATTTCTCCCGGGGATGTGCCAACAGCCCGCCACCAACTAACGACCACCCCTGCCGAGGCCGACCTCACTCTGGCCACGGGATCCCACGATCCAGCGCGACCAGAAACGCACCGCCCCCCGGCCGAAGCCGCCGTCCACCACCGTAGCACCACCGCAGCCACCACCACCGCAACAACCAACACCACATCGCGAAGAGCAGCACCAGATCGAAGAAACAGCTCACGCTAGATCCAGATCGGAGCTGCGAGCGAAGCAGCAGAGCAGACGAGCAGGTCCACCACCCGTAGCACACCTCACACTCTAGAGCAGCACACCCGCCACGCCCGGTTGGTTCCCGCGCCCGACATACGCCAGCCACCGCCACGCCCAACCGTCGATCTGCACCCCTCGCACACATCTGGAGCCGAGAGCCACCGTGCGCACGTATGCATAGACGCCCTGACATCACTTATGCAGTTGGCTTTGTTAACCGTTTCATGGAGGCGCCTGACGACCGAGCACCTCACTACAGTAAAGCATGTGCTCTGATCATTGTTGGGCCACTCACTCACCGCTGCACATTCCGCGGTGGGGACAACATAGAGCTTGTGGGAAAAGTGGACAAAAATAACCCAAAGCTGAAACAGATTCAAACATAAACTCCCCGCGAAGGAATTTTACATGACTAACCCTTTCGGGTAGCACCCAACACGTAGGCGCTATGTGACACGGGGCAGTGTCCGACTGACAGGCGCTACAGTCTTTGCCAGTGTGGCATCCCAAAGCCAGGGTGGGCCCCACGCGCGTTTAAGTAGCGCCTCTGTGAAAGGCGCTACGGTACACAGCATAGTGCCTAACACATAGGCGATATGCTAGCGATTACTAACCGGCGTGAGCCAGCTCTCACCCAGCCCGCTCGTAGTTGCCCCAAGAACAGGGAGGGCCGGCTGCGGGTTCCTCTCCCTTCCCCTTTGAATCTCATAGATCTGAAGTTTTTCTTTGTGGATTTCTGCCTCAATCCCTACCAGAAGGTATTCTCCTCCGATCCACT